ACCTCTTCACAGAGATAGAGCAGCTTCTAAGAGTAAGGAAAGTTCATCTGATTTTTTTCCCTCAACTTTTTCCTTCTGAAGAAGGACATAACTCCTACTGATTTAAAATAAAGCAGGCTTGGCTGTTAATCCTATTGTAAATATTTTTCTTTAACTTTCTATATATACTTTTTTTTTTTTTTAATTGCCCTGTTAACAGTGAAGTTTCATGCTTACATATTTGGAAGAAATAGCAGATTTAAAATGAATAACTTAACAATAAATACGTGTTCTCAAATACTAGCAAAAGTTACAGTTACAAGAATTGCCACTCTGAATCAAATTGCAACTTCAATTTGACACTAAAATATTTCCTTTTAGTTTTATTTGCTCAAGACACTGTTACTTTCCCACAGTTCAATAGGGTGTGCTTGTCATAGCAGCTGAAAGAATGGGACTCTTTATAGAAATATTTCTATGAACTGCAAACAAGATTCCTTCACGGTTGGTGGAGCAGTTCTAGTCTACCGTGTTGGTCTCTACGTGTATATGTTAACTGTCATCATAATTGTAAATGCAGCTGATCTTAATGTATTGGGTAGAGAAAAAGTAACTGTCGCCTAGATTTTAGTCGGGTGCTTTGAGGGGGAGGTATAGCACATTAAAAAATACTGATCTAGTAAAATCTCTATGGATTCATAGATGTTAGGGTCGGAAGGGACCTCAATAGATCATTGAATCCGACCCCCCTGCATAGACAGGAAAGTGCTGGGTTCAGATGACCCCAACCAGATGCCCATCCAACCTCCTCTTGAAGACCCCTAGGGTAGGGGAGAGCACCACGTCCCTTGGGAGCCCATTCCAGACCTTGCCTACTCTAACTGTGAAGAAGTTCCTCCTAATGTCCAATCTAAATCTGCTCTCTGCTAGCTTATGGCCATTATTTCTTGTGACCCCCAGGGGCGCCTTGGTGAGTAGAGCCTCACCAATTCCCTTCTGCGCCCCCATGATAAATTTATAGACAGCCACAAGGTCGCCTCTCGACCTTCTCTTGCGGAGGCTGAAGAGGTCCAGGTGCCCTGATCTCTCCTTGTAGGGTTTGGCCTGCAAGCCCTTAGCCATACAAGTGGCCCTTCTCTGGATCCTCTCCAGGTTTTCCACATCCCTCTTGAAGTGTGGCGCCCAAAACTGCACGCAGTATTCCAACTGCGGTCTGACCAGCGCCCGATAGAGAGGAATTATCACCTCCTTGGTTCTGTTTGTCATGCATCTGCTGATGCATGATAAAGTGCAGTTAGCTTTTCTGATGACTTCGTCACACTGACAACTCACGTTCATCTTGGAGTCCACCAGGACTCCAAGATCCCTTTCCGCTTCTGTGTTCCACTTCTATGTTTGCTACTGCCACCTTGCGCAGGCGTGGCCAGCACACATGCCACAAGTGGCATGGGCAGCAGCTGTGTGAGATACAGGCCTGCAGTGGTCCATCAAGGTAGGCACTGGAATGGAGGCAGGGGCAAGTGGATGAAGTGAGAACAGGGCCTTTCTGTGAGAGGTGCTGTCAGGCATCACTGCCAAGAGCCAGATTAGCACTTCTCTGCCTCTGCTCCCAAACTCAGGGCTTTGGATCCTTGCTTGCCATATAAAACTTTTTTTTTTTTTTAGTTAGAAAGCCTTTAAAGTAACTTGTATGTTAACCTGTTCAGAGCAAAACATTGTAATTGGCCTGTCTGGTCATACTGTTATGGAAATAAGAAAGTCTGCTTCATCAGTAAGAAAAGGTAACATCCAAGAATGAAACTGGTTGATCACGTACCTGTATGTGGCAAACCCAGACTCTGCAATGCTATGGCAAGAGGCGACAGACTGTTGAATCGAAAAGATGATTACTGATGATGTGACATGAATGAATTACTGAAATTTAACGGAACATTTTAAAACCAAAGTCAGTGGCTGCTTTTTAGCCTATTGCATTTTGAGTTCCTAATGCTTTCAATTATTACATTTTGTTCTGGGAGACATTGAATGTTTCTGTCATTTGAGAGTTTTTCTGAGACTAAATTAAATCTTAAAACTTCAGGGTGATTTTTTTTGTTGTTCTTTTGTTTTTGGCATCTTGTTTTTGTAGTCAAAACTTGATATTTTCTCATTTGTATTTCTGAATCGCATATACAGAACTTTATTTTTAGTGCCTGGGTCTAGCCAGAACAAAATGTGTATTAATTAGATGTTTCCTATCCAACATTTTTGGAAGCTGATGTACCATAACTACTTTTTTCTCATCTCTGTAAAAACTTGTTTGTTTTCCAACAGGTAAAACCACTGATCTGGATTGAGTCTGTGATTGAAAAACATTCCCACAGTCGCATAGAGTACATGATCAAGGTCAGAGGCCTCTAAATGTATATCTTCACCTTCAGCCCCTGAATTCTGTTCCTTTAAATGTTTCATTTTTTTTAATGTGTTTGTTTTCTGGGAAGTAGTTCTTTCACGTAAATGTACTCCACTGGTAGAGAGGCGCAGTTACTAGAAGTGATCTGTACCTTATAGGTAGTATGAATTGCCACCTGGCAAATCTTCAAATGTATAAAACGGGAGGAGAAGAAACAGGCAGCTTTGTGTTGGCTGGATTAAAGTGACAGCGTGAGTGTTCACAGAAGCATTTAAAAATCTACAGTTTTATAGAAGTGTCTTAAAATCACAGGATATCATGTTTTGCATGTTTGATTTGAAAGTTGGTTCTGATTTCTACATTATACTTCTATATGTGGATCTTCTAAAACACTCCTGACAAAACAGGGCATTTTCTAGCTCCAAGGTCTTTAAAATATCCAGATAAGATTTTGTTAAATATGAAGATTGGAAGACCAGGGAGGGAGGTTGGGGAGTAGGAATACTAAACAAAAAATAAAAAAATTACCTCTCACTTTCTTAGGCAAAGAGTCAATTCAAGCGCAGATCTACTGCCAACAATGTGGAGATTCATATTCCAGTTCCAAATGATGCAGACTCACCAAAATTTAAAACCACAGTGGGAAGTGTTAAATGGGTTCCAGAGAACAGTGAAATTGTGTGGTCCATTAAATCTTTTCCGGTAAGCAGCAATATTATAATAGCTCTGCTAATAGCTGAACATCTCAGCATTGTAGCTTTTAATGAAAGTGAATCTATTTAAGAAATCTAGAACTTGATCAAAATTTGCTTAACACAGAATCCTAACATTGCACACGTAATACTGGACGTTTTTCCCCTGTTCTCAATGAAGTATTGAAACTTAAGACCGCAGATACTTATTGTGGTAATTCTGTAAGCAAATCCCCCTGCATTTCATGTTTAGATATGAATTACCGTCTAGTCTATGTTCACACCTACTTCTGTTCTCCTTCACTTGCCATTCAACATACCTGTTGTGAGAAGAAAATAAGGTTCAATCACTAAAGCGATTATAAATGTCGCATCTTGAGTCTCTATAATCACCATTGACAGTAATCCCTTCCAAACACTGAAGGGATACAAGTACAGTTTCCTGTAACAATTTTACGTATAATGATAACAAAAAAATGACCTAGCTCCTTTTGTTTTTAAAAGGGGGTGGGGTTGTGGTATGACATTTGGAGCCATAGGGTTTTTTCTAGTTTGTCCGTAATCTGATCTGGAGTTCAACTTGTAAGAACTTTTTTTTTTAAAGCAAATGTGTAATCACTCCATATCTGTAGCTGGAGAGCTTTGCCATACCAGAAGCACATTTGTTTTCCCAAAAATGTTTTCTTGTGGAATGACTGACTTTTTCACTTTTTGGCAGGGGGGAAAGGAGTATCTAATGCGAGCTCACTTTGGACTTCCAAGTGTTGAAGCTGAAGATAAAGAAGGCAAACCACCCATTAGTGTCAAGTTTGAAATTCCATATTTTACCACTTCAGGAATCCAGGTTTGTAACAAAAAATAAAACTTCTAGAAAATTAAATGATTAATCTTTTTGTTCATTTAGCTGCTGGATAGTGCTACCTGGGTAATAAAGCCCAAAGCTGATGGTGAGGCCTTGTTTACCTTAGTTCTACTAGCCTCTTAGTTGCATCTTATGTTTGCTTAAGAAACTAGGAAAAAGAACATTTCTTGTCATCTTTTCTTGAAACTCATCTTTGTGTTTTTGCTGAAAGTCTCCCCTACTGTTCCAAAAGAAGGCTAAGAAAGCCCCTGACTGGCTTGATGTACACTGCTCACTGTATTATACACCTCTCTTATATTGCCTTTTGTTTGTCTCCTCTAAACAATTTTCTTTTCTATTCCTTGTATGGAAACAGTTCGGTTCGTGTGATTTTTGTCCTCAACTCTGGCTTCCCTGGCAGTTCCAAGAGGAATGTCTCTCTTTTTTTTAAATACAGCTGGTGACCAAAACAGCACACGAAGTTGTGCTCCTACCTAGAATATTTGTGGTGATGTTATTTCTGTCCTATTTCTGTATATTCTGGCATTTTACTCACTCTTTGAGTGCTGCTTCCCATCCATAATTATGTGCAAGGCTTTTGTTTAATAAGTCCTCAGCTAAAATGTTGTGGGCTCCAGTAACAAAGTTGCATAAGGTGCAGTGTGGCTTGTTTTTATTTATTTAAAGGTCCGCTACTTAAAGATCATCGAGAAGAGTGGGTATCAGGCTTTACCATGGGTTCGCTATATCACCCAAAATGGAGGTAACTTTAAAAGATGATATCTGTAAATACTGAATTTACACATTATTTTCTTACATCACTGTTGCACAGGCACTCACGTTCGCGCTCCCAGCAATCATCTGCATCATGCCTATAGACTACTAGAAGCCAACCCTTTTGGCAGGCATGCCATAAAACAGGCTCTGCGCCTTCCCTGAGTGCCACTCCAGTCCCCTTCCCCCGGCCAATCTGCTTCTCTGCTTTGTGCTCCCTGGCCAACCTGCCACTGTGCTGCCTGCCCCCACCCCAGTCTGCCATGTGCCACACACACAGGCTGGCTGTGCTACTTGTGACATGTATGCCACAGGTTAGCCACCCCTGCTCTAGACTGCTCTCACTTTTCAGTGTGAAATCGTTCCATGCACTACTGCTATAAATCCTTTTAAAAATACGTGCCTCTTTCTAAACACCCTATTGTTGCTGTTATAGATGTGCTAGTGATGGCTGTACATTGATGAGTGAATTGAGTATTCTGCAGCTAAAGCAAGGCTTCTACCATCTGAAGTTGATAATTTTGTTTTGAAGTATGTCTCTCAAGGCTGACAGTGTCACTGTTAATACTGAAGCTGCTGAGTCAGTTGGACAGTCAGTTTGGGTGAACAAAAGTTACTTTTACCTGTTACTTGTTTAGCAGTAAAGGAGCAAAACGTTTCTCTTCCAGATGCAACACAATTCTTTGTACTTTTTTTTAGCCTGACTGAACTCTGTTTTACTTTAGCATTAGCATTTCCTAAATATACGTGGTCTGATGTAATTATTTTTGTTTGGCAGTGAAGGATGAGCTAATGAGTTCTACTGTGTTTCAGTTTTTTTCTTCTCCCTCTTTCTTGCAGACTATCAGCTCCGAACGCAATAAGAATTTTTGTACCCGACATAGACAGCTGTACTTCAGGCCTAAAATTTGTTTGCAGAAATCTTTACCGTATTGAAGACTGCAGACTCTTGTTTCCAGATGTATTGTTTCAGCAAACTTGAACTGAGGAGAAGGAATTGGTTATTTACTGTGTTCAACAAACAGTGTTTGGACCATTAGTACAGATTGGGTAGATGTTTATTTCATTCTTAGAGCACGTTAATTTTGCTGCTAAATGTTGATCGTGTTGGGAGTAGCAGGTTTTCCTGAGAAGCCAGGCACGCAGATTGAATCTCTTGACAGTCAAGTGTCAGAGGTTCCAGTGTCCAGACTTTCAAGAGTACTAATGCCATCTGTAAAGTCATTAGCAGAATCATATTAAAAACAGGAAAAATGATAGTGCCACTGAAATGACTCTAAGCATTCTTGGTTGCGCTAACCCAAGATATTTATTCTGCCCAAAAATCCATCTTCTGGGTGATGACTGCTTTTAATTAAGGCTGTATGAGCTTGCAGTGACTTAAAGATGGATCAAAAAATTGTCATAGATTCAGAATAAAAGTTGGTTTTATTTCAAATGTTTAGGTCATGTAATCTTTGACAACTTGAAGTGGTGGGATTGTGCACAGTTTTAAACATACAAATACTATAACTGCTATGTCACGTCCAAGGTGACAGATGTCAAGAAAAAATGTCTGTGGCCATCGCTGCAGAATCAAAATGAATGCTCGTTGCTAGCAGAGATTGCAATGCTGAGGCATTTAAACAATTAGTGCCAGCTAGCACAATGCTTGTTTGGCTTTGATATTATCGATGGTAAAAGAAAATTAAAACTTGGATTAAACAAGCTGAGACTTGTATTTACATTTAAGGTCAAAAACAATATGGCTAAAAAATAACTCAGTAGGAAGATGCTTCTTGATCTTTAGAATAATTCAGGTCCTTCCTGATTCTTTCCAATCTATTAGCATCTCAGTGGATAACAATCAGAAACTGCATCCCTATCACCCAGGTTAGTTTCAGATAAATTTTTTTCAACATGTACTTTAAAGAATTGTTTAAACTTGCTCCAACTTGTCTTGAAATTTGCTTTCTTTCCCTGTCTTTTTTCCATTTAAGTAGTTACCCAGTTCTTTGTTCTAAGCTTGTTGACACACACTGCCACAGAATGTTACATAGTCAGGGCAGACCCTTGCCTGGGTTCGTGTGTGTTTCTTTATTTTGTATGTTTGGCTGTTTTACGTACTGCTGTTGTTTTTGAAGATAGAGCTGAGTTGCTTCTGTTCTAGAAAATGTTCAACAAATAATTGTAGCAGGGTTCTGTTCAAAAAGGACTTCCAAACACCTTTTTTTTTGGTGTGATGGTAAACCTGACGGTTGTTATATTGGCAGATTTGAAGACTGAATGTTTCTGCCCACAGATGGATGCCTGCACTGCCCTATTAAATGTCCTGAGCCCTGCCTCGAGGGTGAGAGGATAACTCAGCAACTGTAACCCTCATATTCTGTTGCAAATATTATTAAAAAAAATCAACCAAATTCCCGAGTAATGTAGCTTTATATTAAAGGAGGACTTATCTCAGAAAAGACTCCTGCTGATGTTTGTTACAGTGCTAACATAAAAGGTGTGTCTAGAAGACAGTATGGGGGAGAGGTGGATGATGAGGCAGAATTTTAAGTGTGGATGCATGTATTCCAAAGTAAGTGATGTCTGTTACCCAGCAAGTCTGCTGTCAAAAATTATTAAATCACGTTGTCCAAGATTTTTGGTGTACTTTGATTGTTTGGGGGGGGGGGGGGGTTAGCTCATCTTGAGATCTTTTATTTAGCTTTTTATGTTTATAAATTTAACAGGCTGGCTGACCACTTACTGAAGATGTCTGATTGATTAAGGTCTTTTTTTTTTTCATACATATTTGAATTAGTCATCTGTTTAGGCTGGTTCTTAAAACAGCTTTATATATTCATTAATTAACTTATTGAGGCTTGTACTTTGCTCGAACAGTGTTTTTCTTTTCTGCCTTGCAACTACTGGAGATTTGTGTTGAATAGTGGCTGTAGGCTATGGTAGTCCAATACATTAGAAAGAGTGCCTTTTTTTTCCCCACCCTGTAATATAAAAGGCTGACTGGCTGGATTGAAGTACTGCCAGTCGCATAGGGTCACTTCTAGGTAAGTGGAATGTTTGATAGATGCTAACAGTTAATGTATTCTGATGAATTACTGTAATACAGCCATAATGTAGCAGACGTGTTCACTTACTATTTAAATGTTAGTTGTTGGCAGTGGGGAGGTTGTTTCTTTTGGGTTTTTTGCGGGGAAGGGGGGTTGCCTCCTGCAACCTCTGTATATGCATATTCATCAAACACCACTGTCAAACTAATTATATTGGGAAGAATTCTAGTTGGGTAAAAGTGAACAAATGTAAATAATACTTAATAGATTAAATCATTCTTTTCAATGGTATTGGTATTATTTCCCAGGTATTCTGTACTGCAGAGCAGGTCTAAGTGCTTTCACGTTAGTCCAGGGTCTGTTTAGAGACAAATATATTCCTTCTGTGGCCAGATATTAAATTTCTTAATTTGAAGATGCAACTTTCATTTTGCAGTGCATCTCTGACTTCCTGCTTCAGTTTGGCAGTGTGTCATCTTTATACTGTAGTGTGGCTGTCTTAACAGAGTTTTCTTTTAATCATTGTACATTTGAGTAAAATATTTCAGCAGGATTTCCAAGTGAGCGTGGTTTATCGAGCCTTAGACTTTGCTTGAAGTATTTAATATTAACAGCTTAGAACCTCTGCCATTTTATTTTTAAATACACATTTCCCTTCACCTTGATTCAGCCATGAACTTTTGTGAGAATGTTCCAACAAAAAAGGGTCATTCGTTAAGGGCAAAACCAGCCTGCTAGCTAGAAGTACAAATCTTGGCATTCATAGGTACATTTGTTTGGAATTTGGTGTTCAGTACTTTTCCTGTGTTGTGGCAGGTGTCTTACTTCACAGAAGGACTCCAGCCTTCCAAAACTTTGCCCTGAGTTGTTGCAGCTCTCAGGGAGAGAAGATAGGTTTCTCCTTAACAGCCTGGAGGCTTGCCTTGTAGCTAATGCTGCAATTCTCATTTCGGCCTTGAGATGCTGCTGTTTCATCAGTATTAAAGGCTCTGGAGAAGGAACAACTGAAGTTGTTCTTGCCTGCTCTTTTCCCTCCCTGCTTTGGAAAGTTCAAGGTAGCTGGGAGGGAGAGGGGAAAGAGCACAGATAAATTTGGAAGAGGGACCCAATTTGCAAGGAGCCCACTGGAAGGAAGTGATGACTAATAGCCCAGGAGCAAGAACAGGGGAGAAGACAATGCCTGAAGAATGGATCCAACAGAAGTCAAAGATAGAAGGGAAGGGGGAAGGTTCTTTTATTCCTCCATCAAGTAAAATGGACATGTCATTCCCTTGGCTGCAGGGGCCGTGTGCTTCTGTACATTTCATGTTGAGTTTTCCTATTGGTAAGGTAGCCTTGAAGTGAAATCTGAAAATACTGTAGTATTAAAAAATATAGAATAACTGAGGGGAAATGCCAGTGCTATCAACATGCTTGTGATGCAGAGGAGCAGTGGCAAACCTATTTAAAGAATCTTACTGTTGCACAGCAGGCATGAGTTCAAGCCTTACACTGGGCTTGTCCCAAAGATGGTCTCTAATTGCCCTTTCTCTAAATAGATACTTGGGCTGGTGAGTCAGATGCAGTGTTACTACAGTTTGTCCTTTGTGCTGCTGACAGTATGACTTCATGTGCTTTACCACACTAGGAGGACAGGCCATCTAGGTGTGATCATCTTTTGACTGTTCATAGTACAATTCATGGCATAAACTCTTGTGCAGTGTCCTTTTTTGGTACCAGCAAGTAATATGCTATCATCTTACAATTACTGGGTTTCAGACTGGATTGTTCCAGCTTAAGGGAGGAAATTTAAAAGGCTCAAAAAGCAGATGTTTAATTCGTGTTCTCGCTGTGGGGTGCAATCAAGGCATGGAAGCGAATGGTTCCTCACTGCATTGACGTGTGTGGCCAAGTGAGTAAATTGAATGCTCTTCCATACAGCTACTTATTTTGGGTTCCTTTCAAGTTTGCTCACAGATCAAGCAACAATTCCACCTATATTGTTCTTCCCTCCAATCTAAGGCCAATCTGCTCTTTATGAAAAGAGGCTGCATGGGATGGGACTAAATCCTACCACTATAACATAGTGTACATGACCTGTTTCATTAGACACTTCATTCAGCAAATTAAAATTAAATATTTGGAATAGTTACTAGAACTTAAAACTGGTGTCCAGACTGCCTAAAAAAAAAAAAATCCTGTGACTCTTCTGTTTTACAGAACTAATTGTAACCTGTAGCTGACATCCTCATCCTGCTTTCTAAATTTGATTTTCAGTTCTTGGCCAAGCCATGGCAGATCTCACCTTTTTCTTCAGTGCAGGATTATGATGACCTGTTCATATGCTTTGGAGTTCACTGACTTACCTCAGCAGCTCCCCCCCCTTCTTTGTACCTGACTGTAGTAATACTCCAGACAGTTAGCAGAGATAATCAACAAGAAAGAAAGAAATGTACTGATATAAACTGCCACAACAGCACCAGCCACCAGGGGGAAGTGCTTGAACACAAGCAGATTGCAAAGTAGGACGTCTGTCATCACACAACAGTGGTGATTTTCAGTGCCATCGGTAAGGTGCGGGAATGTGACCCAGTGGAGCCAACAGTAAACTTGGGGCATCAGCTCATGGCCCAGGTGTAAAACCTTTCATAGATACATAGGTTGTAGAGTCAGAAAAGACCACAAAGGATCATTGTGTCTGACCCCCTGCCCCTGGCAGGGAAGAGGACCGAGGTCAGACGACCTCCAGCTAGGTGACTATGAAGCCTCTTCTTGAAGACCTCCAAGTTAGGTGACAGCACCACCTCCCTTGGAAGCCCATTCCAGGTTCTGGCCACCCTTACTGTAAAAAAAAGTCTTCCTAATGTCTAACCTGAATCTGCTCTCCACTAGTTTGCACCCACTATTCCTAGTTACTCCTAGGGGCGCTCTGGTAAATAGCGCATCTCCAATTCCCTGTTGTCCTCCCTTGATGAACTGAAGAGGTGGCTACAAGGTCTCCCCTCAACCATCTCTTGTGCAGGCTGAAGAGATCCAGATCCCTCAACCTCCCCTCGTAGAGTCTTTCCCAGAGGCCACTAATCATGTGAGTGGCCTTCCTCTGAAGCCTCTCCAGATTCTCCGTGTCCCTCTTGAAGTGCGGCGCCCAAAACTGGACACAGTAGTTCAACTGTGGCCTGACCAATGCCGCATAGAGGGGGAGCATCACCTCTCTCGATCTGTTGGTCATGCATCTGCTAATGCATGACAAGGTATGATTGGCCTTGTTGATGGCCTCGTTACACTGCCGGCTCATGTTCATAGCAGAACTATGAGAATGCCTGGAGTTCTGTGAGAATACCATTCCAGATAAATGAAGACCCATGAATTAAAGCCAGAACCTCCTTCTCTATAAAATGCAGAACTTTTTTAAACGCTTCAAACACTTCCTTGCCTAGATTAATCTTTTGTTTCTTTTTGTGTGCTCATATTTTCCCCTCCTCCCTCAGTTCCTTATGCCATATGCTTTTTGGTTTCCTTGGCTTTGCTTTCTAGTGGTGTGCATCTAAATTAGCCCTGGCTTTGAGATGTCTTGTAAAGACAGACCATGAGCCTCTATCCATGGGAGGAACAGGCTGCAATCAGACCTAGACAGGTTACAGGGGTGGGCGGCTGAGAACAGGATGGGTTTCAACACTGACAAATGCAAGGTGATGCACCTGGGCAGGAAGAACCAGCAGCATACGTACAGGCTGGGGAACTCCCTCCTTGTCAGTGCAGAGGAAGAAAAGGATCTTGGAGTCATCATTTATGCCAACATGAACATGGGCCGACAGTGCGGGGACACAGTCAGGAAGACCAACTGCACCTTGTCGTGCATCCACAGATGCATCTCGAGCAGGGCCAAGGAGGTGATCCTCCTCCTCTGTGTGGCACTGGTCAGGCTGCAGCTGGAGTACGGCATCCAGTTCTGGACGCCGCACTTCAAGAGGGATCTGGACAACATGGAGAGGGTCCAGAGGAGGGCCACTCGCATGGTCAGGTGGCAGCAGGGCAGGCCCTACGAGGAGAGGCGACGGGACCTGAACCTGTTCAGCCTCTACAAGAGAAGGCTGAGGGGGGTCTAGTGGCATTAGTCAGAGGGGACCAGCAGGCATTGGGGGAGTCCCTGTTCCCCTGAGCACTCCCAGGAGTGACTAGAAATAATGGTCACAAGCTGGCAGAGGGTAGATTCAGACTAGACATCAGGAGGCGCGATTTCACTGTCAGGGCAGCTAGGATCTGGAACCAACTTCCAAGCGAAGTGGTGCTGGCTCCTACCCTGGGGGTCTTTAAGAGGGGGCTGGATGAACACCTTGCTGGGCTCATTTGACCCCCAGTACTCTTCCTGCCATGGCAGGGGGTCGGAGCTGACGATCTGCTCAGGTCCCTTCCAACCCTACCCACTATGAAACTATGATGATTTACTCTTTCTAGTTTATACAATGATGATTATTTTATAAACTAGAATTAGAACTAGAATTATGCATTAGAAGGCGCATCGCGAATAGGTCTTTGGTACTTCCCCTCTATGCAGCATTGGTAAGACTGCAGCTGGAGTACTGCATCCAGTTCTGGGCACCGCACTTCC